ATAAGCAGGTGTGCTGAGCTCGTGGAAAAGTGTAAACGTTGCCGGACAGTCAGAAAATTGGAATGACCCAGACGTCTAGATAGAAACGACTGAAATGGACTGAAAGACACAGGTGGGAAGAAATGCGGAGAAGCTCATCAAAATTTAAGAAAAGACGGACGGAGAAAAAAATAGGAAAATGTAATGGTCAGATAGAGAAGATCTGATTCTCTTGCGCTCAGTGGAAAAAAAGCTGCATCCGAGTCCTCGTGGGCCGAGAGTTTTTTTCATTTTGTCCTACACATAAAAAAAACATGTGTGGGACACATGCACATGCACATGGAAAACCTTTTTCCTTTAGACATAAAAAAAGATAGGTAGACAGACAGAACGACAGGAACAAAACAAAAAAAAAACAAATAAAAAAAAAAAGGACAAGGAGAAGAGAGGCACACATATCATTGGAGGCAAACTAGACCGCTTTGAGCAATTCCATTCGATCCTTTCTCGAAGCAATCCTCATGAAATTTAACCGCGTTACCTTAAAAAAAATATATCGTGTCATCACTGTGTCATATAAAGAGTGCAGGTCGTTAAGAAGAGTTATCACCTACAAGAGAAAACTCAATCAAATCATCGATCTCAACTAGGCAACAGGTACGCGCAAAAAAAGTACCCGAGGATCGAGTATAAGAGTCCTATGCGACGGTACTCCTTCGGCCCGTATCTCGGCCGCCGACAAAATCAGTCGGCAACTTGGTGATGTTAGGAGCAAATTTGACTTGTGCATCTTCACTAATCCAGGATAGGATTTCTTTTACTTCGCTCTGCGAAGGCCTTGCAGGAAAAAAATGTAAACGGCCTTCTTGCCAATCAGCATGTGTAAGACTTGGTCACGGATAGTTTCCCTCTTAATGAGCATTTTGTTTGATTATGCTTTGAGTTCTGTACGGCTCGTTTGGTGCAAAAAAATGCTTTGGTTTGGATTCGCGACATTCAATCGTAGTGCGTCAATGGTTTTCGTGAAAAAAACATCGGTTGCTTTATTTCGGAAAGCTTGTCATTTAGGCAGAAAAACTAATCGATTGGGTTGTGTTAACGTTGAGTACTCCGTCGATCTTTCTTTTTTTATTGTTCTGCTGTTTGGGTCGTTTGATTTCGAATTTTACCTTTAAGTTATTTTAGCCCAACCTCGATCTGATCCATGTCTCTGTAATCACCACTTTTTCAAGTGCATATTCCCTGAAACTTTTGGCCCTTTAATCCGCGTTATGTTCATATTTTTTCAATGTTTTTGATAACGGAGGTTCTCTCTGCTTCTAAGCCTTTTTTCCCTTCAGTTAGTCTATTATACGATCTCGTGTGCCAGTATCTCGGGTAGGGCAAAAAAAAGGTCTCAACTTCCGAGGTCAGATATCAAACAGGTGCGAAGGCTCGGCGAAAATAAAAAAAATCCCTGACTGCGTCTCGGGTGCAGAAGTGTCTCGAATTCTCACAATCCCCTCGTGGTTGTATGAGGTTATGTAAATAAGTTAAAAGTCCTCTAAAGCTTAATTCGAAAGCTAAAAAAAACAACTGACAACGAAATTGAGATTCCTTCGGTATCCAAAGTATCCTAAATTGCTAAAAAAAATATCCCACGGA